ATGTCGTGACCGGACCGAGGTTTCCAGCCTCGGCCACAGCTACGCCAATTAGCGATGCAGCTACCACGGGTGCGGCTGCTTCTATTGCTGCTGTTGCTGTTTCTGCTGCTGCTGTTTCTGTTGCTGCTATTTCTGCTAAATGACTTCAACGAGCTTAGGTACTTCATATGTATACCTGCTAACCTATCAAAATTCTCTAACCAATGAGATTCCGTTTACATATGGACTATCACGGTCACTCGATTCTACTCATTATTTATTCAACATTAACTCTATCTACTACATCATATTGTAAGGTATTTGGCACATTTTCTTAACCCAATGGCCACCAGATTGATTTTTAAATTGGCGTCGACATCAATTTTCGGCATCTACACGTCGTCCTCGTTCAGAAAATATCCATATTGTAGAGTATTTGCCGCTTTTCTGAACACAATGGGCACCATATTGTATTCCAAACACACGTCGGATATTAATTTCCAGCCACTAGACAACATCCGATTCCAAAAATGCCAATATTGATGGGCATTTGACAGTACTTTTCACTTCTTATCAAACTGGAATCCACCATCATGGATTTCAAAATGGCGTCGGATATCGATCTCCGGCCTCTAGACATCACCCCGATTCCAAAAATTCCCATATTGATGAGTATTTGACAGTATTTCCCATTTTATAAGAAACCGGAAGCGACCATCCTGGATTTCAAAATAGCGTCGTCTAGACATCACCCTGATTCCAAAAATACCCTATGTATGGTATTTGATAGTATTTCTCATTTTTAAGAAACCGGAAGTCACCATCTTGCATTTCAAAATGGCGGCGAGTATTGATTTCCGGCGTGTAGACATTAGCCCGATTTCAAAAATACCCATACTGATGGGTATTTGACAGTATTTCCAACATTTCATGCAACTGGAAGCCGCCATCTTGGATTTTAAAATGGCGTCAAGTATCGATTTCCGGCGTCTAGACATTACTCCGATTCCAAAAATACTTGATATTGATGGGTATTTGACAGTATTTCCCACTTTTTATGAAACCGGAAACCACCATCTTGGATTTCAAAATTTCGTCGTCTAGACAAAACCCTGATTCCAAAAATACACATATTTATGTGGATTTGACAGTATTTCCCACTTTTTATAAAACTGAAAGCCACCATCTTAGATTTCAAAATACCATCGAAAATCAATTTCTGGCGTCTAGACATCACCCTGATTCCAAAATTTTTCAGGTATTTGACAGTATTTCCCACTTTTCATAAAACTGGAAGCCACCAAAAATCCCATATTGATCAGTGGTTTGACATATAGCTGAATACACGTACTCAACATCAAAACAACATATCAGTGCTAACATTTGAAAACGGCACAAAAGCCATTTGTAAACAAATGGTTTGTGGGCCCTTTACTCACTACTTGAAGTACACCAACGCGACACAACAGCAACATCGGGTAGGGGAAATTTACCCCTTCCTGACGATGCTGTTGGTTTGCGTGGGCGTTCTTCGGGTAGCGAGTAAAGGGCCCACAAACCATTTGTTTACAAATGGCTTTTGCGCCGTTTTCAAATGTTAGCACTGATATTATATCATGGTACCGCTCACAACGTTGCAGATGTTCGGTACGCAGCAAACTTAAGCGATATGACAGCCATATCCATCCCCTGATATTGATGGGTACATTTTGGATATCAAACATCCTTATTCTAAACTTAAACTGTTCGGAGTACTTCGGATACTATGGATAGGAAAATAATTGATATGATTGATAATCACCAAGTTACAATTATCCGGATAATTTTAAATTGGATATTATCGAAGACAACATATCAAGAAAACTGGCAACTTTGCCTGAATCCAAGCGACAGACACAGTAGCACTGCGCTCGAGCAAAGGTGGAAGCACATACACAAAGCTTTCTTCTGAGGATGGAACCTTTGCTATCCAATTCTATAGAAGCATTTACCTTTGAGCGGCAGATGACGCAAGTGTACCTGTCTCATACCTGCTGTATGAAAAAATGGAAGAGTTGCCAGTCTACTTGCCATGCTGTCTTCGATATTATTCGGAGGGAAAGAAATATGGATAGGGATACACTCCGTTTACTTCTGTCCACTGTATAAGTCTATCCGGATAATTATATTATCCATGCCTATCCGGATAATTTTGAAGCCTGTGACAAGATGGCATTGTTTATCTGCTGAAAATTACAAACAAATCGTTTTGGAGAAAAATCAACTAGGGAAATTTACGTATTCTCGTCAATCTAAGCAGCTTCCGCACTTCTATTAGCATTTTCTCAGTGTCACGCACACATATGACGTGTCTGTTTGTTTACATTCATCTGCTGCTAGCTATTCTATCTATTTTAATCAACAAAACTGTCCAAAACGGTTTTAATACGTTTTTAAGGCGCTCCAAAAATCTCAGGTGAGTGTGACTATTGTCGGCAGCCTCTTTTACTTTGGCAACCTTTCCGATTAAACTGCGTGTTAACCAGCTGTTCTATTATCGGCAACTATAATTCAGCCGTATTTTGATGTGCTTATGCTTCATTTGAAGAAACACCAGGCATAACAGGTTTGCTCAGTCGTAAAAATGTATTGGGATTGAAGCTGAAAGACTAAGGAATCGTTTAAATACATTCAGCGAAGTGTTTTAGTAAGAAAATACATCGAAGTTAACGTTTTTAAATTGTGGTTGCCGAAAACAGTCGATGGCTGCCGAAGCCATCATTTACCCTATAAGCTTTTTATTTTATATGTTGTTATTTTTTTTAGAGTCTACATATGTTTTTCAAATAATCCCAGCCTTCAACATTTCCGAAGCAACAAAACTGATCGGACAACCCATTTTCGAGTAACTATTTTCTGAAGATGAGCTTAATACTTTCTATGGACCCTTTTCAAAAATAAGGCTTGATTCAAAATTGCGATTTAAAGATAGAAAAGTGCACTTTTGGACAAAAAGGACCGTTTCTACAAATTTTCATCCAAATAAAAGAATTCACGAATAAATGGATTAGTGAAAATAAACCAATTTTGATGTAACCGGATGCATTTGAATGGAAATTTAAAGCAATCTTATCAAGTTAATTTGAAAATGATGTTGGCTTGTGGCCACCGGAGATGTTTCGGACTTTTAGGGTTATAAAGTCTTGCATCGCTTGTATTTGTATTTTGCCTTAATGGAAGTTTATTTGAATACATATATTTTACTGATACTAGAATCAATTTTGAATTCAATGCTGACCACAGAGATCCAACATTTGTTGAGAAACAACTGAGATCTAGCCATTTCCTTGAAATCAGTTCCGGTAAAGTGACCAGTAATGCTAATCTTTTGAATCACGTCAATATGAGTATCTATCCTAATGATTTTTAAGCGCTGTCTCCAGAATCGTTTTCAGCATCACAAGTTGCGATGGCCATCCTGGAGCAGGTGCTGGGTTCCCCGTAGGAAATGGCCAATTTAGGACATGACCGGAACCATATCAACATGGGTGTTAAACTACTCCAAGGAAACCGGGACATGCTGAGGGACTTAAAAAAGCTACCATTGGTATTGGTTTGACACTCAAATTGATAAGGTTCCGATCATGTTACAATTTGGTCACTTCTCCCGGGGGCACTCAGAACCTGTTCCAGAGTAACCGGGGCAAGCTGTGGACATGGAAAAATCATGAGGGTTGGTACCCATATTGACCTTCCTTAGCTCAGTTGGTGAAGGCGCAGCTACAAAGCAAGACCATGCTGGAGGTGGCTGGGTTCGATATCCGGTCTGGTCTAGGAATTTTTCGGGTTGGAAAATTTCTCGACTACCCTGGCCATAGAGTATCATTGTACTTGCCACACAATTATACTAATGCAAAAATGGTAGCAGGCATCGAAAGCTATCAATAAATAACTGTGGAAGTGCAACTAGAACACTAAGTTGAGAGCACGCAAGAAACTAATATGCGATATGCAATAAGCTTGAAATGCGAAGAAGAAGAAGAAGAAGAAGAAGAAGAAGAAGAAGAAGAAGAAGAAGAAGAAGAAGAAGAAGAAGAAGAAGAAGAAGAAGAAGAAGAAGGAGAAGAAGAAGAAGAAGAAGAAGACCCATATTGACGTGATTCAAAAGATTAACATTACTGATAGTGTTATCGGAACCAATTTCAAGGAAATGGTCAGATCTCGGTTGTTTCTCAAACAGATCTTGGATCTGTAGGCAGGATTGAATTCAGATTTTTTTCTTGTGTCAGAAAAAAAATATGAATTCAATTCGTTGTTCATACCCAAGCAAAATACACGCGATGAAAAAATTCTGTTTTTGATACATCCCCAAAAACCCGAAACATCTCCAAAAAATTTCAAATGATATATTAAAACTGCTATACATTTCCCGTCAAATGCATCTGGTTTCATCAAAATTGGTTTATTTTTCGAAAAGTTAATGATATTTGAGCTTTGACAAAATTGTGGCTGTCTCAATCCTTTGGTCTATCCCCTGTATATGAATAAGGATGAAGGTATTTTACCATTAAATTTGAAAAAAATAAGCTTTAAAATAAAGATCCATGTTCAACCAAACATTCAGCAGTTCAAAGCTCTGTGATAATTCCGTTCAAACTGTTGCATCGTTGTACGCACCGGTATCGCATTACTCATTACCTTATTACCGCATTTCCAAATACGGCCAACACACCAAGACCGCAACCGCGCCACCGCCACCAGCAGCACCAGCAGCAGCAATTAAAAGTTTCATTTCCGGTTGCTGTGGCAGAAGCTGTACTGCTTGCTCGGCCCGCCGCCAGTCGGTTTGGTCTCAACTCCATGTACATTCGCCAGGGCATTCATCTTGACCGGGACCTCGCTCCATTGTTGCTATTGTATACTGTATCCATAAGCCATTTGGCAGTTGCGTGCATCCCATAAATCTAATTTAATGTTTTACCTTTTGCCCTGGTTGATGGCTTCGGGGACTGCTGCTGCATCGGACGCACTCACTCACACAGACGAGCTACGCATCGTCAAGGACGGCCAGTACGGCGCCGAGAATCCGGAGGTGAAGGGCGGCTGGGACGGAGTGGTCGGCGAGCTGGTCCGAAAGGAGGCAGACATCGCAATCGCATCGATGACAATTACCTCCGAGCGGGAGCGCGTTATCGACTTCAGTAAGCCGTTTATGTCACTCGGCATTTCCATTATGATCAAGCGGCCGGTCAAGCAGAAGCCAGGCGTGTTCAGCTTTCTCAATCCGCTGTCGAAAGAGATTTGGGTAAGAGCCAAAACAACATTAAATTACCTGCCGCCGGCAAACATTTCATTAACTATCTCTCTGGTCCGGCCGTCGGATCGGGCCTGGGAGGAACACATTCTGACTAACCTAATGCTGTTTGCTATGTGCGACTGTCTGTTTGTGTCTTTCTTGCCTCCGGCTGGATTTCCCCATCATAAACATCAATTTTCCCCGGATGCGAACTCGGACGACGCCCGGTAGATATGTGTCCTGTTCAGCTACGTCGGCGTCAGCATCGTCCTGTACATAGTGTCACGCTTTTCACCATTCGAGTGGCGGCTAGTTAATTATAACGGTAATTAATTTTCGAGCACCTAATTCCATCCTGTAGCTTTTTCATTTCCCATTAACCTAGACAAAGGAAATACGTTTGGCCTACTTGCAGGCGAGCAGCCGGACGCCGTCCCGCAGGCCACGGTGAACGAGTTCAGTATACTGAACTCGTTCTGGTTCGCCCTGGGCGCGTTTATGCAGCAGGGCTGTGACATCTCGCCCCGATCCATCTCGGGCCGGATCGTTGGCTCGGTGTGGTGGTTCTTCACGCTCATACTCATCTCGTCCTACACTGCCAACCTGGCGGCGTTCCTCACCGTCGAACGGATGGTCACACCGATCAACTCCCCCGAGGATCTGGCCTCGCAGACCGAGGTCCAGTACGGGACGCTGATACATGGCTCGACGTGGGACTTTTTCCGGGTATGTATCAAAAACCTTCAGTAAAATGCTAAAAATGTTATTGACGTATCAGTGGCGGTTCTTAGTAAAGCTCTTCAGTGCTTCAGCCGGATTTCCATTTCCGATTACAAAAAATGTTCAAAAATCAGTAGATTTCCTTTACATCTAGATAGAGCTGGAATTAGGGCGTAACAGCTTTTGTAAACAATGACTCATCTCGATGATCTATGAATTCAAGACACGCCCACGCACACCAACATAACCATCGGAAAACTGAAGTCTTCCCTTACCCGATGGTGATGTTGATTTGCGTGAGCGAGCCTTGACCTTCTAGAAATCATCAAGAGAAGCCATTGTTTACAAAAGCTGTTACGCCCTAATTCCAGCTCTATCTAGACATAATTTATTTCAATTATGATCAGTATAAATTCGCAGTTTTTACGAGTTTGAACCACCAAAACTGATTTATTTCTCACTCACAAATCCTGCCCAAGCTGAAGAGTTGTTGCTCCAAGAATATGTCAAAGTACGACACCAAAATGTCTCTCAACAGGATGAAAGAAATAGAATTATTTCTCTATCCTTCCGAGAAAATCTTCTTACGTCAATCCACGTCGCAACCCAAATCTCACGTTCTTTCCCGTTTCTCTATCTTATCTTGCTCCCCCCCCCCCCCCCACCGCAGAAATCGCAAATCTCCCTGTACAGCCGCATGTGGGAGTACATGAACTCGCGAAAGCACGTATTCGTCAAAACCTACGACGAGGGAATCCGGCGGGTGCGGACGTCCAAGGGCAAGTACGCACTGCTGATCGAATCGCCCAAGAATGACTACACCAACGAGCGGGAGCCGTGCGACACGATGAAGGTGGGCCGCAATCTAGACGCCAAAGGATTCGGAATTGCCACGCCCCTGGGATCACCGCTGAGGTAAGTGCTTGTTTGCCATACATGACCTTCCTATAGATACTCATGTGCTATAGATGTGCGGATGTCAGCTGATGTCAACTGTCGGACTGTCAAATCGTATGGGAATTGCTCGTTTGGATACAAAATGTGCACATCTATTACATGAGTATCTATAGACTGAAGGCACGGTAAATGTCAGAGTCAAAGGAAAATCCAGTGGGTGCTGGTGTAGCTTTTGTTTTGGTGATGAAATTATGGTTACGCTCTACTGAGGGACGGAGAGGGGGTTGGTGATGAAAAAAAAACTTTCACCATACATGTTGGAAAGCGTGCCGAAAAGCAGCACCGTCCATTGAAGCTACTGATGCTACACCTTTCGGAAAATTTTGGAAACAGAGAAGAAGAAACTTGCAATTCTGAAAGCTTTTAGGCTATAAGGACGATAGTGGTAAACTTTGATAGAAGAAGCTTTAGATCGGTATGGCATATGCATGATGATAAAACAGTGTGAGGTTAAAAGCTCATTGCAAGAATGGTGTATGGTCGTTCAGACCAACTCAAAATTGAGAGTTGAGTCCATTTCGGATCAAAGGATTTACTCACTGTGTTTTTTCAGAAAAAAACTTCTTGAATATGAGGAATATCCATAGAGTTTTCATTTATTCTATTAGTATACTCCTAGGCTGAGTAAAATTTCAATGGATTTTCCTAATATTCGAGACATTTTCTTGGTTTTACACGGCTTTTGCCCGAAACATTCAACTCACTTTTAAGTAAATTCACTCGACTCAATTTAGAGTTGGTCTAGATAGAGCTTAAATAAGGGCGTAACAGCTTTTGTAAATAATGACTTCTTTCGATGATTTCTAGAAAGTCGAGGCTCGCCAACGCAAATCAACATCATCATCGGGTAGAGGAAGATTTCCTTTACCCGACGATTATGTTGGTTTGCGTGGGCGTACCTTGAACTCTTAGAAATCATCGAGAGAAGTCTTTGATTTCAAAATTTTTTACGCCCTAATTCCAGCTCTATCTAGAAGTATGCAGCCAGTCTATACCCAAGTAACAATTTTGGTTTCATGAGGGTTCTGTAGATCATGATTTAGACTTGTAGCATGCTTTAAAACCACTATTAAACTTGCAATGTTACTTGGATAGCAAAACTAGAGTCGGTGTATAATGAGTCACGCCAAGAGTGAAGCCAAGTTAACCTATTAAACTGTCAAACCAGCCACCTATCGTGCAAAGTAAACAAACATGACGATGCTTTGAAAGGTTCACGAAAGGAATTGCAATAAAATATAAAATATAATCGACGAAATGATCATAAACACGCAGTGAGCATTCAATTGTGATGGGATACGTTTGATAATGATTAGTAATGAAAATGTCAACTATTTTTTGTTAAGATAATTTGACAAAATCACTGATATAATGGTTTACTACAGCCGCTATTTTTTTTTCTCGCTACACAGATAAAAATCCTGAATTTTAATTGTGATGTAAACATTCATTCACGTAGACTTGTATTTCATTTCACGCAACCGAGCAATTAGCAAACAATGTTGTTTACAAAGATGGGCTTTTGTATACAATATTTGCTACAAGGCATGAAATGTGTCACAACTTTACATGATATATAATATAAACGTATATGATATGTGACGCTCCATTTATGTGCATCATATTGAACAGAAATTTACACTACTTTTTCAAACTGTGTAGAAGTCATTTGAAGTTGATGTAGAAGTCCTCTGTTGCCAAGTGAAAAGAAAGGGAATCCTTCGAAAACCGTGATGCGAGTTCAACTGTTTTTCTCCTTGCGTGACTCATTATACACCGACTCTAAGCAAAACGATACAGTGGTTCTCAGAATTTCGTAAAAAAAATGTAGTTTTGTTCCTTATCACAAAATATAAGACCTGTATTTTTTTATTTTTATTATTGGGATTCCCATTTCGCTGTTAAGGTGGTCCAAAAAACTGTTTTTTTAATATCCTATATAAACCATTAAAACCATAAAAACTCAATGTTTTTCAAGAGAAAATCACATTTTTTATTATTATATGTTTTCTAAAAAGTATTTTCAATTACCTTTCATTTTGTATTTTGATCTTTGAAATCGGCCGAGTGGCTCAAAAGTAATGTATCGTTGAAATAAGACATTTTTGAAAAATCGATTTGTTGGGCCACCCTAACTTGGAAATGGTTACCCTAATGACAAAATAATAAAAAAAATACGGGTCTAATATTTTGCAAAATTCTAAGAACCATCATATCATTTTGCGATGGAATAGCTAAAGTGTATCGCAAAATTGAGCGAACACCCTAGTGGAACATTTTTTGAAACATTCTGAATAGATATTTTTTAAATCTAGGTGGTTGCTTAAACAGATGTACATTGATATATCGTTTAAGTTTTGGACATTATTGGAATAACCTGTAAGAAGTTAGATTTATTTTAGTTAAACGCACGATTTGCAACTTTTTACCTAGTGGACAAATTTTAGTAAAACTAGGTTAATATGAATGATCTTTGTTATGAATAAAAATTAGCTAAATTTCAAAAAGTTAAGTTTATTATATTTTAAGGTATAAAGGTTTTTCAAGGGAAAGGCTTTTTTCTCAAATAGCTCTTACTTTTAATGAACGCAACCAAATAAGCCCAACACTGTACCAATAATTGATAAATTTATGATGATTCAGCAGCTAGAAATCCAGAAACTTATCTCTTTAAATTGTACTTTTAAAGCTGTTTTTCTAAAATTTAAGGACATTTGCACGCTTAATTTTTGAAATACACTGCATAAGCCAGATGAACAAATATTAATTTATTCATACTGATTGTATAGTCAGCAAAAGTTTATTCAAAATTATGAATGGTGAATACACGCAGAACAAATTATAGCAGACTTAATTATCTCTCCGGTCAAAATAACTATATTGTTCAATTGTTTTAGAGATAACCCGAAACTATAGTTGATTTGACTATATATAGAGGGCAACAACTATAGTCCATAGTTGGCTCCTCGGTTGCCTCAACTATATTTTTCAGTAGATAAACTGCACCTCACCGAGATCCCTGGAACTACAAAAAGTTTCTCAAAATTAATGACGACTGGGACATAAGGGCAATTGGTTGGTTCAACGGCTGTTTCAGTCTAAAATTACTCTAGAGCATAATGAGAGAGAAGGATTAGTATTTCCATTTAATTCCACTACTTTATTTGCTTATCCTTGACAGATACGCGTATTTTGTCTACAATGTGCAGACTTCTTCAGTGTCTCGTACTAATACTCGACTGAAGAAAAACATCGCATTTACCGAATATATATTAACAAAGGTACATTTTCACTTAGAAACTAGGTAAACTTAAATTTAAATTTTCTATAGGAACAGGTACTCCGCTGCTTACTCGTTGATGTGTCCTAGGTAGTAACTTGAAAAGCCATGTGTGTCCGTTTCCTTGATCCCTGTTGAGTAAAGTTGAATTACGTTGTTTGTTGATCTCGAGGCTTTCTGCAACATCCAATTTCCATGGTGTAGATACGGTTCGTAAAATCGTGACGTCCTCCGTCGATAGTTGGTGGTCCTCTGTGCAGATGTGTTCTGCAACCTTTGATTTGAAATCATATAGGGGAAATGACGGCTTCGGCAAGACAGACTATTTTCTGCAACCCAAATTAAAACACTATTTTCACTGGATTTTCTTATGAAAACACTTCGCTGAATGCATGCAAACGATCCTTTATGCTTTCAGCTTCAATTTGACTATATTTTTACCACTGAGTAAAAGCAATCTAGCAAGGTTTTCTTAAAATGCAACACACGCACTACAAATTGTAGCTGATTTCGAGTTGCCGATAATAGAACAGCAGATTTACATGCAGTTCAAATGGAACGGTTGCCGAAGAAAAACTGGTTGCCGACAATACTCGCTCTCACTAGAGAAGATTGGAGCTTTGTAACAGCGTTTCAAAACAGTTTTTGACAATTCTTTCGACTGAAATTGTTAGAGCAGCTGGCAGCAAAAGATTGTAAACAAACCAATACTGCATATGTGTGCGTTCCTTAGAGAAAAAGGCTATAGAAAGAAGGTCGCTGCTTAGGTTGCCGAGAATACGTAAATTCCCCTATTAGGCCTTTTTCCTCTTGCTTTTTGGCCTTATTAACCTCCGCTATATGTTCTTTAAATCTAGTTGCTAAAGTTCTCTTGGTTTGTCCTACATATACTTTGTTACAATGATTACAGCTTATTTTATATACACCTGCTTTACCTAAAACATTAACTGCACACTTAGAAATAACTACTTTTACACGAGACGTAATCCACATAGGGCGTAAATCGTGGAACGTAAACAAACATTTCATGTAAAATTAAGTGTTCTCAAACCGAAACATAAGCAACTCGACGAAAAGAACGTATGATTGAATTTATTTTCTTGTTTCTTTCAACTGATCCTTACGTCAAAAGGGCCGCTTACATGTGTCGGTCTCAGGGAACCGAAATTTACATGACTTTTTCGTAGTGTGTGGGTCTTTAGTGGATCCTAACAATGATTTCAACTGGTTATGTCTACTGGTGAAAACTAAATCTAATCCGAATTGTTTTAACTGTGGTCTTAGTTTACAAGTAATATCTTGATCAAATGGAACGGACACTCGTTTCAATGGTTCAGGTGCTGTGGTGAGGGTTGTAAATAATCTCCTTTGTAGAATTCTCGCTTTTTTATCGATGATTGCCTGGATTGTGGTCTCCTTGTATCCGTTGAGTTTTGCTGTTTCGAAGATGTACTGTAATTCCTTAACCTTTCCTGTATCGCTGAGTGGAAGAGTCTGCATTCGATAAATCATGTGGTGAAAGGCGGCCATTTTCTGCTGGAACGAATGGTTGGAAGTATAGGGGATAACTCTTTTGGTGCTTGTTGGTTTCCTGTAAATTTCGTATTCAAGCGAGGAAGATGATGACGATTCCCTGATGACTAGAAGATCGAGAAATGCGAGTTTCCCGTCTTTTTCT